AAAATCGAATATACTGATTATTCGGATGAAAAATGGACCAATTCTGATCTACCTCTATCTATTCCAATGTTTACTGGCACATTATTAAATGAAACAGACTTTATTTCTATGTTCAGTAATTGTATTAGAGAGATTGGCAGGATTAATCCTAATCATTTATGATTTACAAATAATTTTACTTAATGTCGAAGAATAGAGCGGGTAATCGGGGTATTCGACAGCCTCCAGCTAATTTCAAACAAAGAATTTTTATTTGCTGTGATGTATATATATCTGTGATAATTTTTCTTGTTTTACTTTTGATTCTAGACATGGGCACTGATTGGCACTAGCCGATTTTTTGGCGACAATTTCATGCAATTGTTGAGGAGAGATATTTGGAAATAATGGTAGTCCCTCACCAGTAAACCAAAATTTTTTTACCCCCCCTATATCAGCGAATTTCTTTATTAACATACCTAGATCATCTTCTAAGGAACCATGAAATTCTTCAAACTTTCGGAGGTACACTCTCGTATTTTTATCGGCTTCTTCTACCATTTCTTGATTAGTATAACCGACAATATCAAGTTCTTCCTGAATTGTCGCAATATCATCTTCTAAGCATAAAAGCAAATCAAATAATCTAATTGGTTTATCTGAAGAGGCTTTATCTCTTCTAAGTTCTGCTTCTAAAACGGGATTGATATCTATACCAAGTTTCCCCTGTATAGGTATTAAATCTCCTACTAATTCTAACAACAATTTGTACGAATCAGCAAGTATTTTCCAATCGGGCTCGTGTTCTATTTGCTTTAATGTATTACTATTAATACCAAGTTTTTCTTGAACTGCTATTATATCCTTCTTCTTATATAAAAGCACTTCATATAAAAAGGCACATGTTTCGCTTTGATCAGTTTTATTATTAGTATTACTCGTCATGATTGTTATAATATGGTAATATAATAAATATATAAATGTAGTGAATATAACAAATTCAATCTGAAAATAATTATAACCACATCGTAACTTCAAAATCACATGACGTTATAGGGCAAAGCCCATTGCAAAGCAATAATGAGCCTCAGTGGAGCGATGTCATGTGTTTTATTTCAAAGAAATGGATTTTAGAGCCTAAGTCAACGAGTCAGAGATCAGCCTGTGGGACATAGATAACTAGCGATAGAAAAAATAGTTGATTTATTGATCAAGATTGATAGGGACAAAGTCCCATTGCTATGCAGGACCGAAGGGACAACCCTAAAGGGTTATAATGCGTAATGTATCCGAAAAAATAGTGAATATCGAGTTGATTTTTTCAGGCCTTCAGGGTATGACATTAATATTCGAAATCAATAGTCTACGCTTTCACTGTTACTATTTGGATTGAATTTTGATAAGCCTTCCAGCAATTGATACGATAAGTTTTTGTATTGACATAATCACCACTACCTCATAGATCCTGTATTTTATTTCTTATATTTTCTTTTTTATAGTCTTTATTGCATATAGGGCAAGTCGTTGAACAGTCAAAGTAATCATTATTTCCGGTACTATACTTCGAAGATAAATAAGGGAACTGCTCTAGCACTTTATTAATAACGGATTTTCGCTTCTCTTCTGGATCATCGGGTAGAATAGAGATAGAAGGTCGAGATTTATTGTCAGAGATAGTCACAAGGTGGCTAGATGTAGATATACTTACTTCAGCTTCTGGTAATTTTAAGGAAGCAGAGTTTCGAGCCTTTGACCCATCTTGATCATTTTCTTGGGTTGATTCAGAGCCAGAAGAATCAGAAACTTGAGATTCAGTAGGTATGCTTATCTCAGTATTTGATATATCGTTTGAACTAGGCAGTTCAGCCACGTGTGCGTTCTTTTTCGGAATGCTGATCACTTTTGCCAAGAAAAATTTCGTTAAAAATTTTTTTATTTATATTTGTTGTCTTAATATCTTACATTTACATTATATAGCATGATTTTGCTTTGATATAAGTGGCTTTGACAAGGTTTATAGAATAAAACAAATTAACCTTCATAGCTCAAATCTTCATAGTTTAAACCTCCATAGTTGAAATCTTCATATATAATTTCTGTAGCTTCCCACATTGAAAGATTTTTTGGGACCCAGATCCAATCCCGAATTGTGGGTAAATTACTAATAGGATCGGCAAGCATTAATTTTTTTAGTTCTCTTGTTTGTTTTTTAAGTCCATCCTGAGAATAAAAACATAAAAGTTAGACTAAAGTTCCTACGATATCTATGACGTACATAAAATACTCACTATTAAAGCATATAATAGTTCGAAGACTTCCATGAATTTTTCGACTTCATCAAAAGAAAACGGTAGCATAGCAGACTTAATCTGCGAAATCTTATAAAAATGCTTCTTATCGAGATAAACTTCACTTAGAGTAATTCGATCGCCTAACATAAACAACAAAAATAAGATTTTATATGGATTAAAAGAAATTCTAATTACAGGAATTACCTATACATTGCACCATATATTTCTTGCTTTTTCTGCACCTTTATCTAAGTAGCCTCTAAGCAAAGAGATCAAACCAAACATTGCTTCCTTGATGAGTTTTTCAGTATCCTCTTTGACGTGTTTTATAACAGCATTCTCTGGTCCTCCAGACACTTCAATAAACACGATTTCTTTATTGCTTGAAACTTTAGAACCAATTCCATCGACTTTGTTTAGCGTGAAATCGAATTCTGGAAACAATTCTTTATATCTCTGATGCAACTCGCTTGTACTTCGATCCAGTCAAATGAATACTCTCTCTCTACTGATTGAATCGCCTTGAATAAAGGAACTATCCTATCCACAATATACTTCCTTTCCCCGATAAAACGATTCAAAGGGCCTTTATCAGTCATGGAAAAACTATTCAAACAGGGTGAATTAGCCAGTTGTGTTAAAAAGAATATATAAACCGTGATAATACTCACAAGTCAAATAAGATTGTTTTGCAGACTTGCTGAAATGGATGGACTGTAGTTTGATTTAGTGAAGTTGTAATAGCGCTTTCGAACAGATCTTTTTCAGACTAATAGTTAATAAATTTTTATTAATAATATTTAACACAAGACCTAAAAAGATTTATGTCTACTTACTGATAATATATTTACAATCCAAATACGAATTTCTTTCGGAATTAGATCAACATGATCTACTTTCATTATCACGCATTGATTATTAACGTGGACTGAAAAATGTTTAGCCAAGTATTGCAGAGTATTTTTGTGAAGGATTGGCTTTTCTGGGGTCGTAACAGTTACTTGCCGAGGTCTCAAAGGTGGTGTCTTGGACTGATAAAACGAATATTATTCAGGCGTAGCTCTTAAAAAATCAATCACATAGAGACATATGTCAACTTACGCCATCATCATCAACAGTCATCTCCTCACCACGCATGCACGTGCTCGTACTTTCTCGAGTTTCGGCTGATGCCTCTTCGCTTTCGTTTTCAACATAAAAAAATCGTCACTGTTGCTATTAAACTGAACTTGTACTTGGGGAAGAGTGGTATTGATGACCTCGGCTGTACCCTTCAATTTCTTTTTTGGATTACCATCATTATAAAGATTCATAATTTCGTTTCCTTCATTGGTCGTAGACTGATCAAAAAAGTCGAGCGAACGTAAATCAACCTTTCGCTTGATTCTAGTCTATTAAACAGAAACCATTGTGCTGTCAATCGAATTCTTCATGAACGAAACAACTAATTTTCCTTACCCGTTTCTCCTTAATCAGTCTTTCCCTTTGCATATCCTTGATACTCGTCCAAAAAGCTTTGCTCGTTTTTTCATTCTTCAACTGCAGTAAAAAAAATAAAAAGGAAGAAATATAATAAGAATCTATTTCATGTCATTGTCAGCGTAGGACGATGAAAGGTGGGGAACGCAACCCCATACTTCGTGTATTATCACGAGAACGCAACTCGCCGAAGCTCCTTCAAAATCATCCTACACTCAAGACGAGGGTGGGGAACGCCACCCCATACCCCATGAATACACTATATTCTTACAGAGACGCAATCTGTTGGAGTTCCCTCGCCTCCTGCAGGGACGAAACCTGCCCTTTTTTACATTATACGTAACTTTTGTAATAAGCTTTTCGTCACATTCCAACTCTTGCGCAACAGATATAAATCGTTTTTTCCAAAAGGAATTTTTGCTTGGCCACGATTTATCTTTAAGTTGTTCAGCTATTAATGTTTTGTTTCTACACAAGAAACTATTGTAGGATACTTTTGCGTGACGCGTTTCCTTGAAATATGCTTTTATTTCTGTTCATAGTAGGGCAGAGTTAAGATTTGAAAGAGGTCAAAAATCAGATATAATTTCGGGAGAACCTACCATTTTCGAAAGACATTCTGCATAAAAAAAGACAAATAGTGAAGATATGATATGGCGGAAGATTTAGAAGTTTTAATATAACGCGTCGGATCAGCATTTTAAAGTCACATGACTCCGATCAATATATGACAGGGATGGCAAATGACATTGAAATGACCTCAAATGACCCTCAAATGACATTAATTTTATTATTAATTTTAGTCGGAAATAATACATGACAGGGATGGCAAATGACATTGAAATGACCTCAAATGACCCTCAAATGACATCAAATGACAAAATGACATCAAAATTTACCATCACTGATATATGATGCTAGTGTCACGTGTTTGTTGGCAATGTAGGGCGGATGGCGCAAGTCTCACAGATTGTACAGGAGAGCTTGTGATCGGGGTGAGTCAATTTAATGCACGTTGTAAGCTTGTCAAATGACTAATCAAACTTGGTGATATATTGTAGTTTTGGTTAATATGGCGGAAGGTCAAGGGCATAAGGTTGGTTTGAAGGTCTTGAGTTAAAGACAGGTGAGTATTTTCGTCGGGTAACGTTTTGGGTATGTGTCGAGAAAGTACTCACACAGGATTTGTTTATTCTTACGGTTTTCAACGAATAACAAGGGAAATTATCAATGAGTTTTATTGATGTTTTTATTAGGAGGTTCGTTACAAAGTGTTTGCAATTACTACTCTCGTTCTACAAACTGAATCTAATTATTACTTATACTAATTTTGATTGTTCATTCTCTATGATGGTGATTCAGTTTAAGGACTGATTGTTCATATTATAAGGTAACTATCCTTTTATTATACTGATTATCTTTCTTATTAGGTGAATAGCTCTTCTTGACGATGAATCTTCATTCTCCAGAGTGAACGTTTCACTGATCGACCTGACTCTAACCTCTTTTAGAGAAAAATCGAAGGTGTTTCCAAAAGCGTAACATCTTCAGGGCGCAACACTAGGGAGTACGCGGATCTACAAAAAATATCACTATAACTGAGATATGAGAACTTTCCCGAGATTGAACAATTTCGAATCTATAGCCTAAATTCGGGGATTAGCAACTGAGGTAAAAAAAATAGTGCAAGACAACATTACCGATTCACACTTACCACTACGATTAATTTTTACAACCGCCTCATATGCAAGAAATTTATTGCTTAATTTTTACAACCGCCTCATATGCAAGAAATTTATTGCTTAATTTTTATCAAGTACGAAGATGCTTATTATTTCATTGCCGGAAAATTTATTAGATACACTGCGCCAAATTTTGTTGAGGCGCGTGATGTTAAGCATGCAACGAGATTCATGTGAGTAATTTCACTGTATCTATTGTACGCATGATGGTCAGAGATTTTCTCGGCGAAGATCAAAATGCTGATATATAACAAGAACGATTTTTTTAACTTGATAGAAAACGTAATCATATATTACAGGTATTAGCATTTTTTTGATTATTAATAGCATCTATTCTTAAGTTACATTGCATAATTGAAGAAAATCATTTCACAGACTAAGAATGAATGGATCGCTTAGGGGATTATCGCATTGACCCACGAATGATTATGAAGTTTAGCGGAGCTAGTACAAGGTGCTAAAAATAAGGTTGATATTTTTATGCGTCAGAATTAGCATTACGTCCGAAATGTGAAATTCATCATTAACGAAAAAAATACAAATAACCAATTAGATGCTGAGCATCCTCATTCCATGAGACGTATCATAAGTCACTACCGGTTGCACGGATAATTCTACTTACACATATTCAATGAACAATGAATAATGCTCTTTTAATTCTTTTTTATGGGGAGTAGTAGGAACGTCCATTTTAACCTCAAAGTTTTTCTTGTGATTTAAGAAATCCACTTCGGGCATACTCTCGCGTTCTTTTTTCCAGTAATTATGATTATCCCGCATTTCAAGGCGATATTACCTCTCCATTTATCTAATAGTTTCTTTGAAAATTTGAATTTCTGTTGCAAGAGAAGAGTAAGAGCATCAATATCCGATTCATTTCTTATAAGAATTCCCTTATCCTCATCACTTGGTGATATCTTTTCAGGTAACGCTGAAGTTACATTATTGATAATATTTTGAATTTGGCTATTGGTAAGACTAGAAATAGCATATATACTGTAGGAGACTTGTTTAATTTTTTCTATTTCCAACTCCGTTTTTCCCAAATAGCATTCGAATTTTTTTAGCTCTTAAAGTTTTCATACGCAAGTTATACTAGGTCGATGCTCTAGCATTTCTTTATATAATTACGTTCTAGCAGTTTTATCTGTAACTCCTGTCTCACGGCAAATTTCGATAACTTTATTTTCAAAACTATCAGAGTAATAGTACCAAGATAAAATTTCTTCATGTCTAGCGCGTATTGCATTTTGGAATAAACAGATTAAGCTTTGTGTTGTAATTTGAGATGATTGATGCTCTGTAATCTCAGAGGAAACTGGTGAGATAATGACTCTACTACTTCGCAAGTTAACCCCTGCTCTATACATTGACTTTTAGTGGGCTCAATTTCATCAGGCTCTTCATCTTTTCCGCTTACATGATTTTGCTCGGGAGAGATAGAAGCATCTGAAATTAAGTTCGGGGATTGGTCTTCAGCTGATTCACATTGAAGCTTCTTCTCTCTATTACGTTGCTTTATCTCGCTACTAACTCTTTCCTTACTTTTCAAATCCAGAAATAATTCATCTTTCTTTTCATCCAATGATTTGGGTTTGTATATAGGTGATGCAGAGCATTGGAGTAAGCCAGCCTCCGGCTGAGTCAAAGATTCTTGCCATACATCAGAATTTGAAGCATTATTGGATATATTGGATGATGGTGTATTAAGAGTATCATTGGAATTACTGGAGATTGCGAAACATCTTTTGTGGAAATACCTTTTTCTCCCTGTTCCAATATCGCAAGTCTAGCTTCAAGCCTTGTATTCTTTTGTTCTAGTTCCTCAACTCTGGCACCGCGCATCGTATTCTCCTCAATAATCTGCTTCAACTTTGCATTCTCCTTTCTAAGCTCAGCAATCTCGGCTACAAGCTTGGAATTCAATTCCTTCAATGAATCAATTTTGGATTGAGGGTTCGACATTACTTTATATAAAAAGTGCATTCATTCAAATAGTGTAAGGTACAAAGTTAAATTCACGTGATGAAATTTTGCGGGACATGTCTCGGAAAAATGCCAAGAAAAAATTCATTTCTTTATTAACGAAAAAAAATAAATTACAAATCTGGGTACTATGTGTCTCTGACATAAGGATGCTTGCCTAAATCCTTTCAGAAAAATATCGTCATAATTTCGACGGGTTACACACTAATTGTTAATTAGAATTTCAACATAATTTCGGTTACGACGGGTTTCAAAATTCGTCAGAATTTTGACGGGTTATTTACTAATAGTTTATTATAATTTCGACAGAATTTAGACAGTCACTAAGGGATTTCGGCAAGCAACCTTACTCTGACACTAGCTTCGCTATTATATCATTTTTTGGCGCGGTATTCCTCGATCCTAGCCCTTTTTTTAGCCAGCGATTTTTCAACACACGCCCTATCCTTTAACAATGCAACGATAACACCCAATACCTTTTTCACGCTCTTGCACAATGTGTGATATTCCTCCGAATCCTCAATTAAAGCTTCATCCGTGAATTCGATGATGTATGATCGTTTGCTACCTTGTGAGATCTGTTCTGGACTATATAGCAGAAAGTGCCAGTCCCTACCAGTTGTAATAATACCATATAGATAATCGAAATCGTCATCGGAAAATGCATCGTCAGCTTTTCGTTTTTTCTTGTTTGTTTCGAACGAGCTCTTCAATTGTGCGATATTTTGCGCGTACCCCATTGGAACTTTATGCTATTTATCCTCAGTGATGCAAATCAAATCCTCAGTTTCCTATTATCAATGTGAATGTGGGTATTAGAAATTATTTGGATTTTACATGTTAACCATACGAAAAATATACCTTAATTGCGTAATCGACTCGACCTGTTCTTTTTTCTCCCGTGATTTCATATTGTGGTCTCATACTAAACTCCTTTTGTGTGTCGTCTCATATGATATGGAGGGCAGAATGTAATAAAGCCACGACGTATTCGTTCCGCATGCTTTCTAAGCTGTCGACGAGTAATGTCCCGTAATTTCTCAACTGGACTAAAATCTCGGTCATACAATGCGCAAAATACTTATCATTTTCTTGAATCTCATGGGTTGGGAGGGAGAATAGCGGGATGAATTCAATACCATCACTATCAAGGTCATATTTTAATAACACTTCTCTCAGACTGCGGTATGATGAAAAAGCCCTCAATTTTTTCTCCTTAACTTCCTTGGCAAAGTCTACGAGAACCATCGCAGGCCCTCCTTTCATACCATAGCTACGAAGTTTTTCGGTAGAAATTTTTCTGGGTGATCTGCAAGTAACACGATTACATCATGCATGAAAAGTTCCACGACCTTCGATTTTATTCTGTGCTATAGTATGTGATGTGTTGATCAAACATCTGCTGTGTTACGCAATCGATTTCAGGTTACATGATTATTACTTTGTAATGAGCTTCGCTCTACATCATACATGAAAACTTCCATGACCTTCTATGATATAACATGTGATATATGTTGATCGATTTTTATTACTGGACATACAGGGATATTATTTTTCACTGATGAAAGAATGGGAAAAAACTTATAATCAATTCGTACAAATTTTTAATTAATTCGGATCTACACTCAATTATTATCACTTACGAAACACGAAATAAAAACAACAAATTATATCTTTATTGCTCCGCTAATATATGTAAAATTGTTTCTTAAAAACTGACCTATATAGATAGTAGCGTGGGGGTAGGAACGTTTAAAGGGAGGAATAAAGCATAAATGCCTGCCGGATCCTAAGCCTTTTACATAGTAAAAATAGCGGTTCCTTTCCCTACCCCGCACTAGCTATCATCATTGAATTCATTACTACTACCAAAGTAAGTATCTTTCTTTTTTCCTTCTCTCTCGATCCAATTCTCAATTTTATCCAGTGAAGTTCTTTGAGGAGATTTTTGATGCTGATAGAATTTTGCAAGTGTGGATGGGCTGAGGCCTATTTCTTCGGACAGGACATTGTACATTTTCGTGGGAGAGCGTTTTTCTCTTTTTCTTCTCTCGTCAAATAGGACGGTAAATTCGACCCAGAGAGTTTCGATTTCAACGGGATATTCGGATCTGTGGCTTGTTGCGGATGCTTACCCTAATTATAGAATACAGGTATACAAGTAATGAGTTTCGCTTTAAATAATATATGAGGAGTTACGCTAAATTTGTAGACCCGAAGGGTCATTGCTTCGCAATAATTGTTCACAAATCTCCACTTCGGGCTTCACTTTTCCATTCCGCCTCCGTGCGCATTTTATTTATTTCGTTTTGCAGAGATAAAATATCTTGTTTGAGTTTTTGTATAGTTGGATCAACTGGGGGTATAATTGAGGTCGGAGGTGAAGATGTTGTTTTTCGGACCGAAAATAATAAAATTGCGAGAATGACGTAATTAAACATATTTTTCCCGACAATTGCGTAAAGCAACTCCATTGTTAAAAACCCACGGGCATATAATTCACCAACCACGATTACATTGACGAAAATCGAAATTAAAAAAATATCGGATGTGTAATATGACATTTTGTAATTGATAAATTGGTTAATTGATAGATTGTTTGTCGCGTGATTATGTAACCAAGTTAACAACTGTTTTAATAGGTAGGTAGAGATTTATTTCTTACCCGCACCTCCATCGATTTCCTCCTGTTTTTATAATCAAGCGTTAACTTCTGCAGGCATGGCATTGGTTCTTTAAATCTCATACTAAATCGAGCAGTAATGTACTGGTGATAATACAATTATATCAATCTACGGATTCACGCATCATAAGTCCATGGCATTGGTTCTTTATAATGAAGCTACGAATTAATTTACTTATAACGAAATCTAAAGTTGAACGCAAAACAACATTTATGTTGCGCAAATATTACGGTTAATGAACTAACTATCAGTCTGCGGAGCAGGACACTCCGTGTCTAATGAATTGGGAATCGAAATTTAGCTAGTTCGTGATCAGCAATTCTAAATCGGCACTAACATGATTCGTTCACAAAATTTGTGATATGAGAAATGTATTCGGTGCATGTATCACATTACTTTTCGGCAGAAATTTTTCGATATGCTTGTGATACACTCGAAATAGATTCACACCCAAAATAGATTATGCAACGATTATCCCAAATGTAGATCCACACCCGAAATAGATTTCATATGTCAAAAATAGATTATATATCCACAGTATGTGAATGATTTATACATAAATATCGCCACAAATAAATTCTCGCTACAATCCAATATGAATCTCATTGTATACATCACCCGCAAAATATGACGATTATACACAACTCATCTAATAATCCAGACGCTCTCCGAGCATCTGCACTAAAAATGAATCATATATTCTTATACTATAAAGAACCAAATCTAATAGGTCTAAAATCCTAAATTCGATATAAATTACAAATTATGTCAGGTCTTACTATTACAACTATTATCGATAAAAAAGCTAAATCAGTGAAGATCATTAATAATCGTCCTGGATATGATATGAAATATGTAACGTCGTATATCTACAATTATTGTGAAATTAGTGATTATCAACGATACTTTGATGATCTTTATGAGACTGAAAGACGATATGATACTTTATCAGTTATTCGACCCGATGAAACTCCACAACAATGGGCTATTTGGGTCAGAGTTCCTTTACAAGAGCTAGTCTCTGAAAAGAAAAAAAGCGTATATCATGTACACTGTTTATTTGGTGAATTTGGGAATTCTAAGCTAATGAATCATGATTATTACAGGCCTAGAATCCATAAACCCAATGTAGCGATATGTTTAGATTGTATGAAACTTATACATATTGATAATGTAAAACCAAAGAAATCATTCCATTTT